AGGGCATGTAGTATAGTACATGTTACATCGGGGGAGTCGAACGGTTGGAAAGGGCGCATCTGGTACCCAGAAGCGCCCAAAATGTAGTCTTTTATGTTTCCTTCTAAATATTCGTAGAAGGGTCAGTATTGCTGAACAGTATTTTGGGAGCACACGTTTCATACCGAACGAGGTTTTTGGATCTGTGAACTAGACTTAGATTCGTTGAACTAAACCTTAGGTACACGATTTTTCATAATTTTTTTGTTGGGGAGGGGAGGGGGTTTCATTGTGCGAAACGTTATTAAAATTTCCAAGGTAAAACCCAGATCCGTAAAAAAATTTCAGCACTATTAACAAAGCGGCAACGGTGCTGCATACCGAGGACTCAGTCCTCAAAACCGGAGAGCATTTGCTTAGCTACTATCGGTTCGTTCAATCGAGCTTTAGGTTTTAAATTTAGTTTTCCCGTCCGTGTGCAGTTTAGCTGGTAATATACAGGGCGATCCAAAAGTCCCGCACCATCAGCACCGGGCACAATTCGGATAACTTTTGAACAAATTTATATAAAAACTTGGAAATTTTTGTGAGTGCTCCTAGGTCAGGGAAAACGACTTTCGAGACCCTCCCGAAATTTTGCAGGAATCATCCTGAAAAAAAAGCAAGAACCCTGGGGGTTACTGCTAGGGCGGTGCGAAACTTTTGGATGACCTTGTGAGACAACTAATATTTACCGCGGCAGGGTTAGGCTATCTGAACCAGAATTGATCAATTCCTGTCACCAGAAGAAAATATTATTATCTCGCCAAATGGAGCCAATAGTTTCAAAAATGCCATCAATTTGTAGAAAAAATAGGAATACGCTGACTCGACCAATTGCAAATAATCGCTTCCGGTACATTGCATTCATTTTACATGACATTTTATCTGACACCTCCCCCGTCACTGACAATGAGTCCCTTAGTAAAAAACCAAACTCAATTTTTAGCCTTTAATATTGAGCCTTTAGAGTTCGTTTTTCATTTCACTTATTTTAGAAATATGCAGCTATCGCTTGAGAGATGGAATTTAACAAATCGATCGACAAATAAAAATAGTAACTAATTTTAAGGTTAGATTTTAGCAGCGTGTGGTGGTTTTTCTCGGGAGGTACATATCACTGCTAGGATACACCTTGATGAGCAGCTCATACACTGATTGGACAGAGATTTTGCGTCTCAACATGGCGATTTACCGACCATTACTTTGTAAGAGGCAAAAAAGATGGGGAAAAAAGGTAGGGGCACCTTCAAATGATGACGCACTTGTGATGAGGCAGTTTTTAACTCCTCTTTCCCGGCCACGATGAATGGCGGCCATCGCAAGCAAAATTTTCGACACAAAATAAAGGCGCATTTTTACGATCGGGTATGATACAGTCAAGTTGGTGAATGATAACTGATGTCGATTTTTGTTGAAAACTTTGACCAATCAGAGGCGAGACTGGAAAAATCAACGGAATTCGTGAGATAATCAAAGATGATCAACATAAATTTGACAAAGTGGAAAATTCACATCGCGTGGAGTGTAAGCGGGATAGAAAATGGTGTTCATTTTACCTGGAACTACATTATCTTCAGTGAGTAGGTCCACGTGCATTCATAAGAAGCCACCACACACTTAGTTTTTAACCATAGAAACTTTAAAATAAAAGAACCGCACACATCTAACAAATCAAAACCGGAACTTCTTCGGCGAAGTAGTCAATTGATGACGTTCGTTGCCACCGGTTACATCGATGAAGTGGAAATTCAAAACTGTTGGCATTCAAAGGTTTCTGATGATACTTCCGATGCCAATTTGAGAGTGGGCGGCAGGAACCGCAAAACCTGGAACTATACCAAAAAGGCGAAAAAGTAAGGGAAAAAATATGGCGATGTTCATTGCGTTTTATGTGATGAACATTGCCCACATCATGGACTTTTTTCTGCGAACTCAACCCTGGAATTTGCGTCATAGCTCCAGCGGCTCGTTCAGATTCATTCTAAAGGTTTTTTTTCGAGAATGCACGCAATTTCCCGTGAATTTTAACGCTGGAGGGGGAAAAGGAGGGGTTCCATTTTTTTGGAAATTGTTTTTCGAGGAATCGAGAAATCTGGGTGCAAGGTAAAAACCAATAATACACGCAAGAAGAAGAATAAAAACAAAAGACCCACCTTCCTCTCCCGTTTAAAAATCCATTCGTATTTCCGATGAATAAAGAAGTCCGAAAGCCAGATTAAAAGACAATTCATGCATAAAATAAGGTACAAATCGAGAAATTAATTCTCCAGCCAAGTATGTACTTATTGTAGTCATGATTAAAATCAGTTTTTTTCAAAAAGTTCTTTTCGATACATCGAACATGCGCCTTCACCCTTCATATTGAGAATCCGCAACCTGCAGAACATAAAGTGAAAATCGAACAATTTAACCTCTCTCACATAAAATCCACCATTATACATTTGAATTCAACTGTAAGAAGAGTTTGAATCTTCTCCAAATACTCGAAAAAGTATCCTGTATGCTCTTACACCGACAATGATGTTTGTGCTATTTACTGATGATGAAGGAACAGAGACGTAAAAAGCTCTCTTCTTCTAGATACACCGCAGAAATGGTCATTATTTTGCGAACAAGGAACTACTGCTTACAGCTCATTTTAGAAAAAACTTACGAGCCATAAGTTTCCCCACGCAGATGCGTGCTTTTGTAGATAATCGAGAAATAGTGGTTATTTGTTGCAAAATGCACTGAAGACATTCAAACTCATTACACAAACTTATTCTACATAATGCCTGATCAAATTATTATCATTCTATTGCAGTGTCTGTGGTCGGGATCGGGTGCAAAAGCTTTTGGAGCGTATGGAGACGATGAAGAGGCAAAACTAGCAGAAGATCGTCATATGCTCGTGTTGAAACAGGTGGAAATTTAGCATTTCTCAAAAATTGTTCGTCTAAAGCCATCTGTGATTTCGATGGATAGATCGCACAAAAGAAGGCAAAAAGAAGAGAACTAGGAAGAGAGCTATCCCCTTGTTCAATTTTATGACGATTAGAGTAAATAAACCCGTTCAAGTCCAACTTAATGGACCACTAGACAAGGTACGAATTTAAGCGATCTGATACATGTTTCTTAACCAGAATTTCACGTAGAAAACGATTCACACAACGAAAATTACGGAAACCAACTCCTAACGAAGATATTAACGTTTTTATTTCACATTGGTTACGAGGAATTTGAACTGCCCGCTCACAAGAAACTCAAAACTCTACGTGAGTCAAATCGCCCACTACAGCGGTTTCAGCAAGCTTCTCAATCGAGCAATGTTCATTTCCCATCATGTGTTGTTCAAACTATTAGCAATTTGCTATAACTGAGCCAAAGCGTCAAGATTGAGGTTGCCAGATTTTTATATCGCAGAGACTGTCATGATAACGTTTAGCGGGCGATGTGAATCACGTAGAGCATTGAGTTTTCATGAGCGGGTGGTTTGAATTCACGAATTAAGAATCATTAAATATCTTCGTAAGGAGTTAATTTCGGTAATTTTCGTTGTGTGCATCGTGTTTTACGTAAAATTTCGGTTAAGAAACATGTATCAGAATGCTGAAATTCGTACCTTATCTAGTGGTCCATTGGGAAATTTAAGAAAAAACCTATCTATTCAGGGATTGGAGATTGGAGCGCAGGAGTTGGTTTAGGCCATCGGAGCTCTTGAATGTGTCAAGAATATGCGGTTTAAATACTGATTCTCTGTATAATTTCGCAAAAAAAAAAAAAAAAAAAAAAAAAAAAAAAACCCACGATGGTGCAGGCATTGGTTTTCTCTTTGACCAACTCCAAAACCCCAAAAAAGCTTTCAAACTTTGAGCCGTAATGGAGAGTACAACCCATGATATCCTGCTATCTCGTCAAACTTTCCATGCAAGGGTATGGAGCAAATACATTAGCGGAGTGCGGAGTTGCAACTTCGCCTGGGGACTCCAAAACTGGAAACACGGCAACCTTGCTAGTGTATCTGCTTCCTAACTTTGCTTACGGATGTAGGGGTGGACTCAAGTTCTTAAGCCGCTGGGAAACCCCGGAGCGCCTTCAATTGTGGAATACACAACCCGCACATCCGTGGAACACGAATAGTTGCATCAAGGCGCTGCAATCAACTCTGTGTGGTCTTTGTTAAACGGAGCGGAAGCGCTTTCGGTTATTCAATATGCAACCCGTTAGCCAAGATACTGGAAATAAAATAAAAATTAAAAATGCTCGAATATTTTTGTTAAAAACTCCGAGGATGAATTTTAAAATAAGATTGTATAACAACGGTGTAGGTCGGTGATCACATAACTCGGTTTGCGACGTCGCATAATTCCTGTCATACTTCATTTTTTGAACGGAAAACTACTCAACGGCAATTCTTTAAAACTGCCGTGATTTTTCTTCTCTGTGCGAAGAAAATTCTGCAAAAACTTCAAGGAATGATGTCAATTTGTTCTCCTTTAAAGCAATACATTGCTTTTTGGAGAGGATTAGAGGTCTAATCTCTAAAGTTTTCAAAAAAAATTATAAACTGGAACTGGGTCTGTTCCTCTAGGCCAAAAACACTGTGAAAATGTAGATTTTCCCTCTGAAATCGGTGACTGATTCATGCAACAAAGGGTTGAAAAAATGACATAGAGGCGGAGATTTTCAGACACAGCAAACGAGATATGTGATTGCGGACTTACGACGTCGACTTATACTTGTCGCACATTTTTTTTTAGACATTATTAATGCTATATCAACATTCCATTATTTTCCGTGTCTCCCATTTTCAGGCGGACTGGGGGGCCGACCCCTTGGTTTCCCCCGAGGAATCCGACCCCCAGCACCTGACGACGAGGGCTCCCGGAGCCCTTTTAAGATGCATGACGAGGAGTGGCGGAGGAAGCCGCCGGGAGCGAGAGAGGCGGGACCGGGATCAGATGCGTCGCGAGATAGAAGAAACTCGCCGCCAACTAGAAGCGAGCATGGTGTCGCCGAGTCAGCGCGGCTCCGGAAACAATCAGCGGGCGAACCAGGAGCCGGCCAGAGGCGCGCAGACCCCTCGCAACTCGAGCTCCAGGAACCGCGGAACGCAGGTACGAAAAATCCGTGTAAAATACACACTAATACTATAAGCGATCTTGCGGGATCTTATGAGAATGCACTCACACATACAAAAAATCGCTCGATGGCTATAAAAATCCCCATAAGAACACGGCAAAACATCACTAAAATTCGATATATTTGAAGATTTTTTAGAGATTTCTACACTAATCAAACGGTAGAGTGATAGGAAAGTTATATCTAGTTGATCACTGGGAGAACAACATTGTGTCTGTTACATGGTGGCATGAAACGTAATGAAAGATTGGAAATTTCAATGAAATATTTCATAAATTAAAAAATTTAATACCTCGAGTTAGGTTAGCGGTGAAGGAAAACCAAAAAGGCCGGCGGGATGACTCAATTATTGATGTTAATCTTCCATCGCATTGCTAAGGCGCAATGATACAACTATTCGTTCTCTCCGGAATGCGTGAGGTATCACGACACAATTGAAGGCGTTTCCGAAACTGCCAACTTTCCACATGAGGATTCTCGTGTCGCAGAAGATTCGGAGCATGAGATATACAAAATAAAGGCTGGCCATTAATTACATAAAGCTCTCGGGGGGAGGGGGGTCTCGAACAGCCTTATGAAAGCTTTCCAGCCTATATTCAAAGAAAATGCAAAATACATTTTTCGTTGGGTTGATAACAAAATTGGACTTGTTTCTGTTAAACGGAACTAAGCGCCGCCAAATTGAGTTCCTTTAGAGGATTTTAGAATCCTGGATAGCGCGTTCTGCCAAACGGAACTAAGTGCCATGGAAAAGCATTGCGAGTATAGGACGGAACGAGCATCGCTTTCCGCATACACCCGCCGATCCAAGCCCCCCACTCCCCTCCTCTCCAATGGCGCTTAGTTCCGTTTGATAGAAATACGTCCAATTCAAGATGGATTTGAGGAAATCAGCACATCACCGATTGCTGACCGATCGGACCATGCTCTTGCCATTTCTCTTGATTCCCCATTCTTCACCTCGTGGGATAATGAGTTGCGATCCTTACGTCAACTTTGTACGACCATTAGTGGTGTTCCATACGAACCACTAATTGGTTTATAGGACCATAGATTTATCTCCCTGTCATTGACTTGATTGATTTCTTCTGACGCCAGGTGCAGGACATACAACAGGTCCCTCAGTTCTCGACGGATCCCGGATGGACGGACATTCACACATACCCGCAGATGCAACAACAGACGCAGCGGCGTTCCAGTGGGTACAACACCAACTCGCGATCCAGATCGCAGCAGCAACTGACCGTCAACATGCCGCAGACACCGGCCGCACCGAACGGACGGTGGTGGCATACTGGGTCCCGCTCACCTCCCCAAGCCCTATCGCCAACTTCCGGAAACCCCCTCCATTATGATTATAAACGCTGATGAAGCGCAGAACTGAACTGGAGTATCCGTGTATGTGGGGAGAGGTGGGACATGTAAGCAAATCGTTCTGTCAACTGTTGACGAAATCCGTAAACAGTTAACGTTTGTACATCATCAAAACAAACTTTCGTTCTCTGTGTGTGATTAAATGGGCGTGGCCTAGCCTTTCCCGCCAAATCTCCCGTAATGGACCACTGGACAAGGTGCGAATTTCAGCATTATGATACATGTTTCTTAACCAAAATTTCACGTAGAACACGATGCGCACAACGAAAATTACCAAAATCCACCTTTTACGAAGATATTTAATGATTCTTAATGCGTAAATTCAAACCACCCGCTCATGAAAACTCAATGCTCTGCGTGATTCACATCGCGCGCTAAACGTTATCATGACAATCTCTGCGATATAAAAATCTAGCAACCTCGATATTGACGCTTTGGCTCAGCAATTGCAAATTGCTTATAGTTCGAACAACACATGGTAGGAAATGAACATTGTTAGATTGAGAAGCTTGCTGAAACCGTTGTAGTACGCGATTTGACTCACGTAGAGCTTTGAGTTTCTTGTGAGCGGGCAGTTCAAATTTCTCGTAACCAATTTGTAATAAAAACATTAATATCTTCGTTAACAGTTGGTTTTAGTCATTTTCAATGTGTGAATCGTATTTTACGCAAAATTCTGGTTAGGAAACATGTATCAGATTGCTTAAATTCGTACCTTGTCTAGTGGTCCATTAAATTTAATTTAATTTTCGTAAAAGTGCTCCAGACCACGTTATCGAAACTGTTGACGATTCTGGTTAAGAGAGTGAAACCCATCAACTGTCCTTTAAATAGGCCACCGGGCTCTGATTGGTAGATGAAAATAACAACTTCGTTAAATGCGCAGGACAACTGTTTACGGATTTCGTCAACGGATGACGAACGAAAATTTGCTTTATGGAGCTCTTGAGGCAAAAAAGAGTGGCCACCCTTCTAAAACGAGAAACATTAGAAACATGCCGCTGCCAATCATCAGATTCCAATATTCCAAACTAAGTTGGCCAAGAATGTTTATGAACGATTCTTCCGGAAAAATTACTACATTTATGCGAAAAACATTCCAAATACGTGCTTTACAAATGCCGGGTCGTAACCATTGTAAAAATAAATCATTCTGGAGATTTAAGTTCAATAAATTGGCTGCTTTTTTGGGCCCTAAGAAGAGCTACATGACCTAACCACCAAAATTACCAATAGGTCCACACTCTTAACTGACACAGTCAGGAAAGGACTTAAAGTCACATTTTTACCAGGGCCGGATTAAGGGGGTGGCCACATGGGCCGCGGCCCATGGCCCCAAAATTAGGGGGCGGCAAATTTTGCAATTTTTTTCAATGCAGGTACAAAAAAATCGGATTCAGAATAAAATTACAAACAAGAGAAGGTGACAAAATCTCTCATTTCCTGAGAGTTCATTAATTTCTAATTTTGTCGTATTCCGGTGATACAAAAGACTGCGCACCTTTAATTAGTTGAGTTAAGAGAGAAACCAAACACGTAATTTGGCTTGGAGCGACGCGGCACAGAGAGAAATGATGACGAGGACTTGAGATGAAAAGGAGAAGCCCTCGGCGCGGCGGTCGGCATGTAACTTATATTAGCGCCTACGAGACTGCATGAATACTTCACGCATTGCGCCAAACACAGTGTGGTCAGCGCGGCACGGTGGCGGAAGTTAAAATTATTAAACCACATTTATGTTCGTTCTTTCTTAATTTTTTAGTTCATTTCTTACAAATGAATGGCCTTGTCCACACAGAGATAGGTTTACGGAACTGAACGGAGCGCGAAGTTCCGTGAACTTTTGCTAGTAGTGTTGACAGGGCTTACGCAAAAAATGTGTCCAACAAGAGTGAACGCGTTTTATGCACCCTTCTCCCTCTGGCACGTTCACTTGATGGTTTTTATTAATATTTCAAAATAAATGAGAAGAGGGCGGCAAAATGCAGGCGGCCCATGGGCGGCAAGTAGGTAAATCCGACCACGATTTTTACTGAATGCGTCAGTTAAGCTAGTCATATAAATGTGTTTTAATAATTCAAGATTTTAGATCATCGAAAAATAATAATATCTGTTCAAACACCAAAACTCTATGTCCGACATCGACGCAAATATCCGTGACACACACGGCATATGACGTCATCCATCGTGACAGTGTCTATCACGACTCCTTCCACCTTGGTTTCATCTTCAAAAAGCAATGCAAATATATCACTAATAGATAAATTCAAGATAGGAGAAACCACTGTAAGTATAGACTACCGTACACTGCCGTGATAGCCAAGAGAGCAGTAAATGCATTTCTGTATGAACCATGGTTAGCGGTGGCGTGGCGTGGATTGCGATATATCTTATGTCATTTAAAACTATGGAAAAGGTTCGATAAACAGGGTGTTCGCAGTGAACACCTTAACAATCGATTCTTTACCATAGGTTAAATGGCATAACAATCGATACATCGCAATTCACGCCACGCCACTGATCGTTAGCACGTGCTATCATGTGTCTCGAGATTCATCCCAGTGTGCACTTACTGCTCTCTTCGTTATCATTGCAGCGTGGCGGATGACATCTTATTCCGTGTTTTTCGAAAAGCCATGTGTTTGTTAAAATTTGATGTGGTGTTCACATCTTTAAGGAGATCGTTCCTGCTGATCTATAGACTTAAACCATCAAAATACGATGATGTGACTAGCGCAACTGACCCCACCTATTATGTTCATGTCCGTGGTGAAAACTGCAGGATTTTTTTCTTCTTTTTCTCTCTCTCTCTTACTGCAAAAATAGACACTTACAATGTATATTGTAGTCTGCGAATGAGACAGGTGTCAGTGTAACTGCTCCCGTGAGGTTGCATGCGTTCATAATGAGTCTGAGTCTCAAGTATTGTTTCCAGAATTTTCGAATAAATCTACGTGTACAACGCGGTGAGGCTCACTTTTTTAACACCTGGAAAATTCCTAATATAGCACTTCGCAACAGCCACGTCGATTTTTCTGGCCTCCACCTGGCGAGAGCACATTAAAGCACCCACTGAATAAAAAACAGCAAAACAACTATAAAAAAAAAATCAGAAACGTGCAAGGGAAAAGCTATGCATGAGGCTTTTTTGAATCCATCAATTTTTAAAACGACTTCTGAGTGCAAAATAAAACCGGAGAAGAATACAATACGAGTATGCTTTCACGAAATTGCGACTCTTCAGTGATACGATTGAATATGTGGGCGTCTTTAAATAAAAAAGGAGCTATAGCCATCGTGATATGAAAAGAAGTCTAAAAGTGTTTATTGTACAAAATTTCTATTGTACAAATAAAAAAAAAAAAAAAAAAAAAAAAAAAAAAAATCGTGATATGAGCCCAGCAGGTCGATTGTTGAATCGTTATCGAATGATTCTGATCGATAACTCCCTATCTTCACAATGCTATATATCGATCAAGGTCATTCGATAACGATTCAACAATCGACCCGCAGGCATGCATGTGCTCCTGTGGATCTCAAGGTTCGTGTTAGAATGTATATAGTTCATTCTGATCCAAGCACGTCCTATTGATGCGCAGTCGAATAAGCGAAGAAGTAATGGATTAAATTAATTTTGAACTTTGCCTTTACTTTTTAAAACGGGCGGTTTTTAGGTTTTTTTTTGTTTTTTTTTGGCAAATGGAAATTTCATCGAAAGTTCATAGATTTGAACAGGGACTGAAGTGCTCCTACCCGAATGGAGATAAATTACTCAAATTAAAGGCCCAAAATCGAAAGAAAGTATTGCTAGGGAGGGCTGGACATGATAAATATATACATTGGAGAAATCAAGTGAATATAAATAAGCACATCCTCGGATTCCGGGTTCGAATCCCGCTGGTGGCAATAACGTTTCGGCCGAATTATTTGGTTGTATACTTTGAGAAACTCTACGAAGCGCAAGATCGGTACCGCTGATTCGATTTATGGTACGGGCAGCCGTGCACAGATTTTCCGTGCATGGACCATAAATTGCGGTTGAAGATACCAATGTGACCAGGTGACCTCAGAGTCGCAGGAGCAGGAGTATATTTTCGGACGCCACACAATGGATCGAGTTAATGGGGAAGGTCGGACAAAATTTGGAAACTTTAAAAGCTCATAACTCCGGTCATACAAAACTTTGAGGTTTTAAAAGCGGTCCAGTGGGTTAATAGTAAAATTTACCATGGAGGCACCCCTTAATATTTAAAATGTAACGAATTAAACATCAAAATGTGCAATTTTATCTAAACATTTCAAGCCCGATCTCTCTGATTGGCTCGATCTACTGTGCATCATCTTGATTTTCTCGGCGATACGCTCTTAAATGAAAACTCAAAATACAAAACATGCATTTGTATTTTCGCGACATGATATCGTTGGTAAAAATCCGGGAAAATTCCTGTCAACTGAGGTCACTTTCTGCTTTTCAAAAATGCACGAACTACAAATAACGAAATGCTCATAAATCACACAATACATCTAAATTCGAATTGATTACTTACTTCACTGAGGTTACAAGTTATTTGACAAGGGTCGATTCACTCACCTGCAAAAAAGAAACAAAGGAAATATTAGTACAGAATTTTTGATCAAGTAATAAATACAAATATTAACCTGTGCCTTTAAGACACGTGCAGAAAGTATCATCCACAATGTTTCTACTTCTTCAATTCCACTTTTTCGTGTAATTCTCTCACGAGTAAGTTTCAATTTTACCAACATATTTTGTTTTTAAAACACACAAAGAAAAAATATATATAAGAATATCTGCAATTAAATAAGGAATTAACTATACATATATCGACGATGAAACTACCAGATCACGTATCTCGGTTTAAGACGGCACAGACTTATTTTTTGGATGGAAAACTACTCATCGTCAATTCTTGAAAACTTCCGTAATTTTTTAACTCAGAAAGAAGAAAAATCTGTGAAGACTTCGAGGAATTATATTGCTGTGTTCCCCTTCACAAGAATAAAATGGGAGCGGAGATGTATAAACACCGCAAACGAGATACGTGGTCTGGTAGTTTCACAGTTGATATCCCTTCTCTAAAGTAACTTTCTTAGGTCGGAGCTAATTCTAATGCAAAATATACTTAAGGTGATTCGATGGACGCCATATTTTCTGTCAAAACGACATGCGATAAATCGCATCGATTGGTTCCATTTCGTCAGCTACTCGTCATTTTTCTCGAATTTTGAGATCGCAATTTTGTTGCCCGGAGACTAAAGAATTCACTTATTAATATTGACAAACAAAATTAACGCATTAAGGGCGTGGTTTTTTTAGAGGAAAAATCACACCTTTACCTCGTTGAATTTGTTTGTCAAAATTGGTGAGTGAATTCCTCAGCCTCCTAACAACAGAATTGCGATCTCAAAATTCGAGAAAATCGACGAGTAGCTGACAAAATGGGACCAATCAATGCGATGTATCGCGTGTCGTTCTGACACAAAATATGGCGTCCACCGAGTCACCTTAAGGCTTAAATCTCTGGCGTATCGAGAGGCTAAGAGACGATTTTGCAAAAATTATGATGTTGGCGATTTGAAAAGCCTTTCTTCAAACGTTAATTTCACATAATTTTACTTGAAATAGAGCATGAAGCGTTTCCTGACTCACATCTTTTCACAACTTTTTTAAGTCCTTTTTAACGTTCAAATTTAAGAGTCTCATAAGCTTCTAGAGTCCTGACGTAAGTCGATTTATTTTGCATGAATGCATCCTATTCTTGCATAAGCTCATTTCGCTGGATCTTGCGAGTTGGGCAGTGGCGTGGCGTGCTTTGCGATACATCGATCGATACACCACTCAAACCTATGAAAAAAGATCGATTATTAGGGTGTTCGCAGCGAACACCTTAGTAATCGATTCTTTACCATAGCTTCAAATGGCGATATATCGATAATCGATCATTCACGCCACGTCACTGGAGTTGGGGCAAGGAAAGGAATTGTCGGAGCAACTAGGCTAGGCAAAGCACGCATTTACGAGGCAATTTATAGTCGCTTGAATTGCTCGTCGTTCTGCGCGGTTATCTCAAGATCCCATCTTCATCATCTTCGTGATGACTTCAAGAGGAATATGGTGCCGACAACCCAGAAGTGGATTCCTCTAGAGTTTTCTCCCTGACAATGCGAGAGAGCACTGAAAAAAAATATTGGTGTATTTACTAAGAAAAAGGTAAAATTACCAAGAATTCAGGGTTCTATTTGATCCCAGTTTTTTCTTGGTAAAATTACTATTTTTGGAGTTGGTAATTTTACCGAGAAATCTCGGTAAAATTATTGACTCTCTCGGTAATTTTACTGGACCCCGGTAAAAACGCCAATATTTTGTATATCGACTGTGGTAGAATTACCGCGATAAAATGGCAAAGTTACCGTGAATTGATTACCAATAAAAGTGGTATTCTTACCTGAAAAAAACAGTAGAAATACCGGTTTTTAGGTAAGCTTACCAGTCAGTATTGGTACCAATAACTGGTAAAAAAAGTGAGATGTTAAAAGTTATCAACGGACCTTGGTAAAAACGCCGATAAATTTTTTCAGTGAGGATCGGTTGAAAGTGCAGCTTACGTCAATGGAAGATTTCGGGGATGATGTGAAAACTTTGAAGGCTTACATATTCTGTAATGAAACACGTGGATGTTTTAAACTAATTTCATTGGTTTTTTGTTATTTTTTTTTATTTAAGTATTAAGAGCGCTCGTCTGGTATGGTCATGTCAATGGGATGACTGAAGGGAGGCTGCCAAAAAAGATGCTTGATTGGGTTCCTCCTGGGAGGAGACGTAGGGGACGCCCAGCGAGAGGTTGGCGACAGGGGGTGTTGAGTGAGATGAGGGAGTGTCAACTCCCTGATGACCTGTGGGAAGACCGAGCTTTGTGGCGATTGGGCGTCGTAGAGCGCCGAAGAGCGCTGACTCATATGTATGTATTAAGAGTAGAAGAATTAGATTAGTTATCTTGCATTCTTCCGGGCCTAACCTTTTCCTGTGGGAGGATATGGAGTTAAGTTGAAGTAGCACCTTCTTTATAATATGACGAAAAAACATAAAAATTTCCAGTCTCAGCACAAGGTAAGGTTTTATGTTCAATCTCTTTCTGTACCTCGTTCTACCGTAGGTCAAACCTCAATCGAGCTACCTCGAAAAAAAAAACGCGAACACCATGGGAAAACCCCGTTAGGGGCATCCCCTTAAATTGTGGCACTACCTCAATTTGTTGGACGATATGGACCTTTTTCAATTGATTTTGGTTGTATAGCATTTCAACATTTGGGTTAGTTACCTAATTTATTGGGGCGCTACCACAATCAATTAGAAATATCCAAGTTGAGACTGAAACCGAACTTCTTTTTTCCATGATGTTGAAAAAAAAAAAAATCGTCATTTCCCCGACGAATGAACGTAACTACACTTCAACGTTGCAAAATATCCTCTTGGAAATTGTGTTTTTACAGCAAACTTTTGTCGGCTCCTGATTGAAAATTTCACAGTTTTTGTTCCAAACAGGTAAATGAAAAATCAGTAGAATTTTGTACATACTGTTGCTCGGTCATATTCGTGTTGAAAAGCGAATTATTTGAGTCGATTTTGCAACCTTGGAATAAAGTTACGACCATCCGTCAGATGGGAAATAACGAAATATGCGACGATGAGTCACAAGCCAGAAACATCGCCCAATTCAGTCCTCTACCATCATGGGGTACGTTCGCCAATGTGTAACCCAAGTCTGAGCAACTATTCGAACACGGGTGTCGGCGGGTTGCATATTTAATTTTTGAAGGAAATTCTTAGTTGTAACATTATGTGCCTGCACTCAGCACGGTGAAAACAGGAACACTGATCATTGTTGTGTGCTCTTAAGAGGTATAAGCTCATAAGCGTTGACTTTGAAAATGTTCTGCTGAGTCTACCGTATTCCATGAGAAATTCCGAAGAGAGAATATGTATTGAGGCTCTTAATTTTAGGCTTCGTGTCACAATGGTTCATTCTGAAAAGTTGATAGGTGGATTTTCAGTTATATATGTTCCTTTAAATACCACCGACAATGCCAGGGAAAACAAGCCATACGTTTGAGATTGAGGAAGGACAAAAAAACAAAGCCCGAATATACAAGCGAATATAGGGAGGGATTTAAAACATGTGTAAACAAGGCTAAAATATTTTAAAAAGCACTAAAAGGCACTAAAAATAGTTTCGAGCCTTACCAGAGCCGTTGAGTGGTTACAACTGGGCTCAGGTATCGCCACTAAATTTCTCATTATTTCGTGTTTTTGCAATTGAAAATGAGCTAATAATAGATTGAATTGTCCCGCCTTTTAGTGTTTTTTAATATTTTAGCCTTGTATACACATGCTTTAAATCCCTCCCCATTTGGTTGAAAATGAGTATAATATACTCTCAGTTTCTGAAATGACTGAGAATTTTTAAATAGAATTCAAAGCGTCGCAAAACAATTACAGACATACTGCAACCACGTCAGCATGAAGCGCACCTACACCTACATAGATGCACTACTTTCATCTATATTCGGAATATTATAATATCATAATCTAATCAATATTTTATTTTTTCAATGCTGGTCTGATCAGATGTCCCGACACCCACTCATATGCTATGACGTAATTAGTACGAAAAAAGTAGGTATACATTCAGAAACAACGTAGGAATGAAAAAGGGATTTGCTGCGAATATTTGCTGGAGCAAAGAGAGGAGTTGTTTGAGATGAAACGATATAACAATGTTACGGCGAGGACAACGGGAAAGTCTTAAATTTACTTCTAACTTCACAATTTGCGCATTTTTGGGCTTTCCACAAAAAAAGAATACTACGGCCGAGACATCATTATTGTAAAGAGATAAATCCGTTAATAGTCCCACTAAACCTGAATTTTCAACCCAAAAATGTGCTGCCCTTTGACAGTCCAATAGGTGTACAAACTGACGTTTTGGCAGGTAAACTAAATTTGCGCTGTCGATAAGATTTATCCATCAAAAAACGAGTCCACGATAAATTCAACCTATTCCTTGAACTCGAAAAATGCAACAAATCCTTGAATGTAAAGAAATGGAAAAAAATTGATTTCATATGGTTAGACATAAAAAATTAGACGGCCAAAAAACTCGTACCAGAACAGTCAAAAGAAAAAAGGGGTGAAAAACCCGTTAGCGGAAAATCTCATTTTTTCTCACAGTGAAAATATTACTTGGCAGGTGTTCCTGTTCCCTCTCGAGGAAAAGCCATCCTTTCAGAGTTTACTACTGTGTGCATTATCTTGGCTTCGTATAAGATAAAGTCAACCCCGGCCAGATGCAGATGGTGACGAACGATTAATTTTCCATCCAAGCCGAGAGCATCGGTACTGGCTGTTATTCTCTCAGCAAAAAATTAAAATCCATCCATGCTTTTGACGCGTGATCAAGTTTAAAAAGCTAAAAATGTGGTTCGAAATATACACACGCGGAGTGCCATTGTTGCCGCCTGGCCGCCTGGTAGCGGACGCCCCGCCCCTCTCGCTATACTTGCATTGAACTTCTTTTTCGTGGAAAGAGATCTGGGAATCCTGGTTGATTCGATCTTTTTACGCATGCGTCACAAATGCGGGTTGATTTTTTTCGGTATAAAATGTGTGCGTTGAACCTGGATTTTTCTTCTTGAATCGTTTCTTGAGTTGTGTCCGATGCAAACAGACCTGAACGTACACCATGGGAAGTCTGAGCCTTCTCGTTGCGACGGTAAGCGAATTCTGATTTTAATTTTTTTATATTTTTAGAGAAGTTTTGCTCTCATCGTAAAATGTACAAGCTTGAAAAACAAAAATCCAGGCACATTGAAGTATTTCAGAGAATGATTTCACACACGGTAAGTTTTTTTTTAAAAAAAAAAAATTGTGGCATCTCCAACTATTTTGTCAAAAGCGAAAATTAAGCGTTTTGATAGATTTTTCATACGTTTCCAAATTTTATTTTCTATTAAAGCGCGGCACTGACATAGAAGTAGCTGACAACACCTCTCAAAAACTCATAAAATTCTATCATTAATTATATTTGCGTTGATAGTAAAAGACTCGGCGATCTTATATCGACGGTGAAACTACCAAACCACGTATCTCGGTTTGCGACGTCGCAGACTTCCTGTCATACTTTATTTTTTAAATGAAAAACTACTTAACGTCTAGTCTTGAAAATTTCTGTGATTTTTCCTCTTTGTGCGGAGAAAATTCTGTGAAAATTTCAAAGAATGATATTGATTTGGTCGACTTCAAAAAAAATAAAATGCGTTACGTGGTTTGGTAGTTTCACCGTCGATATGCTTTGTTTATACGGTAATTTCAAAAGTAGTTGCACACGTCTGTGGATGATCGATTCCTCAGAATTTAAGTATATCTAAGTTCGGAAAAATCATTAAACTCAAATTTTTTCAAGTATTCTACGCGTTCTCGCCAGTAAAATGAAACCCATTTGAGGCCCTACTTACAAGTCTCATTTATGTTCCATTGAACCTAGTTTTTTAAACCCACAAAAAACCATTCTCATCGAAGCTGGTAGCACATAAAAAGTTTGAAATGACGTTACTGAGCCCCATAGTGTGTGATTGAGGTCAATTTTTTTGCTGCAATGTTCACTTTGAAAAATGTAATTATTTTTGTACCTATTTTTTACCTAATTTTGAAGAAAAATCACTAGTATCTAAATTTTATTCCAATAAGCCATTAGCTTCGATTTATTTACTTTCAAATATAACAGAATCAAGCTAAACTAAAAATGCAGAAAAGTGGAGGTTAACAAGCGAATCATACAAGAAGCAGTTTACCTCTTAGGGGCTGCAGTAACTCTTGGAGGTGAAACCTTAATTTTAAAAATCTTCACAATTTTTTATAACTTATTAAACAGCCGCACATTCTAAATTTGTAATTAATACTGCAGTGGGAGTAGTCCACTTAAATTGCGTCCGAGCTAAATTTTAAAATCAAAAAAATTTGTCGGAAAAACTCGATGCCTCACTCGTAGTCATTCTTTTGGTAACTCATTTCCTTAGGAGACCCACCACATGGTTTACATGTGATTAATGAAAATTAAAGAAGATTCCTAAACTTGTATCATTTAGAGAACAATGATAGAACCTCTCGGCTGAAATTCAGTAGTTAACTACGGAAACAGATCATAAGAGGAGCAGCAAACATATAAAATGAAAGTTCTATGATTTGAACAAACTTAAAGAATGTACGATTTTACCTTTAAATTGTCCAAACCTGTAAGATCCGTTATTTTGTATTTTTAATTTTTTGAAGGGGCAAATCAATTCAATCCCTTGCAAGGGTCTAATTTCAAAGTGATTTTGTTAAATTCTACTGGCGATTCTTCAAAAATATATTTCTATGATGCCGTGTTAAGGTTCTCTTTAAACTTTCCTTGATCACGATGTAAACCATTTGAGCCTCTTTAAGAGAGAGAACGTTTCAAGAAATCTACGATGAGTGAGGCTTTCATCGTTAGGTAACTTTTTTCTTCAAGATGGTGCCTTCAAATGTAAGCAGCTTTCTCATTTTATAGAAATTTAAAAGAAAATAAATACATGTTGTATAATTTCAGTGGATCTAACATGCATCTAACATACGAATACCTGATAAATTCCAAAACAATCCGTACGGGGTGGTTAAAAATTTAATCTTTTAAACAAGGCTTAAGACTTCGACGACTCATTTATTTACTCTAATTCATGTTTACATATAAATGACATACGTATTGCGGCTAAACACACAAAACAAGATCATGTGAAGTCCAAATTGCGCGTCTCAGGACAAGTCACACCTTTTTCACTCACAATCATATCATCTATGCTCCAAAGAAAATCAACCCATCTATCACTTCTGTAACTTATCACCTCTAACCATCAAACACGTACTTATAGACTGCTCTGCCCTCAGAAATCTCCAATCACAGATCTACTCCCCTACAATCAACAGAAATACAAACCCACTTACATGCGATGAACCCAATATTACTACCAAAATTCTGAAACTCTTCACCTCTCTTAATTTAAAAATCTAAATTTTCGTATATACTCCCATTTTCAAAATTCTCTGTAAAGACGTTAATAGCCTGTGACGCTGAATGTCTTAAAATATACTAACTAACTAACTACTTGTCAATAAGCCTCCACAAAATTTATATGATAAAAAATCATTTAAAAAATAATTTAAAGAATAAAGGTTTTATGGTCATTTTCAAAAGCTCTGGACTTTCCCATTTTTCAATAACCTTATTGTTTCTGAGGGAATATTCTTAAACAACCTAATGGCATTATGTGACACAGACTGGTAAGCAATCTTCAGGCGAGCGATTTCAAAATTATTGATGTAGGTATTTCCAACATTTTTGATCATGTTAATGGAGAAATCAATAAATAGGGTTTCACAAGGGTAGTTAAATCGATTGTTAGGGAGTAATCGAAAACATTATTTCTGTTCAATAAAAAATTGTCCTGGGCAGTGATTTAGACCCCACAAGACTGGACTGTACCTTGATGTGAGGTATGCTTAAACGATAGTACATCATTTATGACTTAACTGGCAGCGCCCTACCCTCATATCGGGCCGAACTATCTCCTGTGAGATACACGAAACCTTTATGAGGTTGGTGACAGTCGGTTAAAGTTTGGTATCTGTTTGCAGATTTTTATCTCCACGAAACACAAAAAAATATCATTCATGAACGGAAGGGTGAAACCTTCAACAGGTTCATTGTTCATGCAGTTTCATGCTCATTCGGCTGTGTTTATTTTTGCACCGACTTTGAGCGCATGTGGTAACTCGTTTCCCTGGACTTCAGGATAGGCATGGTGATTACCCATCCGTTTGAGAGTATACTTGTCTGCGTGGGGAGTTTTAATTTGAAAAAAATTGCAACTTTTATTGTCAGTTCAGAAATAAATGTGAGCAATCCAAGAATCGACGTAATTTGCTCCGCTCTGATTGTGAGCATTACTCTCATTAGTTTTTGCGATATGTCAAACTTTTACTAATCGAAAATCTGTTAAGAATTCGCGCAGTAAAGTAGCCTTAAAATGAGACATACAGGATGAATCCTAAACATTTATTACTTAGATTTTGGGGATACGTTACCCTTCAGATGCATAATCCAAGTTAAAACTGGAATTCTTGTCAATGCATCAAAGAAGGTTCTGATCTTCAATAGTATATCTGATCTTGAATTTATAATGCTTATAATATGAGGTGAAAATTAATTTTGTAATAAAAAAGGATGAAGCAACCATTTTGTTTACAATGAGAACACATTTTGCGAAAATACGGCCGATATTATTATCCGAGATATCGCGCTTTGAAAAATTCGGTTCATGACGTAATCCAACACGATGGTGACGCCCTTGGTTTCTTCCATTTTGATTTAATCCAAGTTTCCTGTCGGGTAACCGCACTAACCAGTGTAAATGTGTGTCCTCTTACTAATGAAAGCAAGGTGGAGGAAACCAAGGGGGTGACTATCGCGGTGGATGACGTTATAAACCGAATTTTTCAAAGGGCGATATCTCGGTTGATATTGAACGTAGAAAGTTGGGATTTGGACAGACCTTATTATTTGTATCTAGTCTGCAAAAACTAAGAATCAAAACACGATTCTGTGATCAACTGACCCATTGGTAAAAATTGCATATTTACAAAAGTTCTTCGAGTTCACGAATCCGTAAAAATTAAAACTTATTTTTTCTTTCAATTATTTTTATTGTTACTTTTTTTTACAGATTTTCCTGATCGAGGTTCATGCCGGAATTCCGGTAATGACTAGAGTCATGAACGATGAGAACAAAGCATCAGTTCAGAATCAGATTGCAGTTCCTCAGGTGAGAATGTTAACAAAATTTTGAGAAATACGTTAGACGGGATTGATCTTACGGTATAACGGCCAGGTTGGCCTGCTGATCAGTGTGCCTGACTTGAGATCAGTAGTTCGGGTTCGTGTCCCGGTGTTGGCGGGAAATTTTCACGGAACTGACAAGTGAATCTGCAGGAACAGATCTCACTCGGTCATAGTCCCTGAAAATTTGGAAGACTTGAGCATAAAAGTGCACCGGAAAAGAAGTGAAGTTGATTTTAAGTTGTGGATGTAAAAAAAAATGTGTGCGAGAACTTACGAAATGCTAAATTATCTGCCGTAGCAGTTAGTTTTACATCCTGGCGTTCCCATAGTAACTGATGGAGTGGGTAATTTAGCATTTTCTGAGTTCTCGCACACTTTTTTACATCAGCAGTTGAATCAACTTCATTTCTGTTTCGGTGTGCCTGATTCAGTGATTTCATTTGGAGAGGATCATTGCAAAAATAGCGATGTAATTCTGTAATTATTGCAGGTTTTGATTATACTTTTTAGAACAAGTTAGTTTTTTTTTTTTTAAACTGTAGTGCAAATGCCGTATGTAGCAGTAAGCTAATTTGCAGTAATTGCTACTTTGCTCAAAACGGTGGGTATTTCAGGATTTTTAGGGGTATCCCTGAAAATCCTGAAATACCCACCACTTCTTTCTCGGTCGAGGAGAATTCACAGATTGCTTACTCAAGATGATATTTTGTGGACATTTGTGTTAGGAATAAAATAAGATAAGAAATTAGACGGCATTAAATGTGCAGGTATGTAGGACGATTTTAGTTGAATCTGTTCATTCACCATCTTTCACCATCTTCTATACTATAAGCTCCAAGACCTCCTAATTTTGCGAAACTGGTGACGCTTAGTTTCAGCGTTCTACCGGGCCGATTTTCATGATTTTTGCGGCAATCGACGGGCAATTGTCTCTAGATAAGCCAACTCTTTTTGGATTTTCAAAATATGGCCCAGGTTTTTTTATATTACGTGGTAAAGTTGCGAATTCGCCCATTTAAACAATGTAAATTTATACTTTTTGTCATAGTTCGTTTGAGCGTTCTACCGGGCCGATATCCATGATTTTTGCGTAAATCGACAGGTAACAGGCCCTAGATGAGCCCGCTGTAATCAGATTTTGGAAAAAGGACCCAGGTTTTTTTTAAAATCACGTTATAAAAGTGAGTGAGTTTACAGAATGCTCCGGTACTGCTACCGCTATGCGCGGGAGGATGCGCAGTGGTCGAGGAGGTTGCGCAGTAGCTGTGTAGCCTGCGCATCAGCTCTACACTTATCTACACAAGATTCGCGCCTGTATCCACATGTCGAGCGGTGGTCGAGTCGTCTAAGACGTCGAATGCGTCCATTTTGAACTCGGTGTGGGTTCGATCCCCGACCCACGAAGTCTTAATGATTACCTGTATGATGACTATTACTGTGCATTGTTTTACTGCAATATTTCATCAAGCAGTCATTCCAAAACGCGTCCTTTTAATTTTAAAGTAATTTTAAGTAATGTTTAAAATTAAAGTTTACCTCATATCGTAATTTTTTAGGGGAAAAATAAAACTAACACCGATAGGAGGGTAAAAATAGGGCCGCGAAGCGGCCCATTGATGGCGCGGAGCGCCTTCAGGGGGCCCCCTAGTCATTATATAAGGATGAGAGTTTTCCCCCTAACTTAACAGTGAATCGCCTTATTCCTAAAATGAACCGGCTATAGGTTAAAGTATCATGTACTGCTAGTAACATAGCTTGCACAGAGTGTGTAATCGAACGTTATCATAAAAAAGTTACACGCATCCTAAATTCTGGGGATGGATCGTTTTTTCACGTGAAAATATAATTCTTGTTCATCATCACACGTAAATTGCTCGATACTTCAAATCTGAAAAATTGATCGCGTGAACGCTGGATGAATTGATTCGAAGTATACAAAGAATTGAAAATAAGATTTTACGGGAACATGATACGGTGCATTATGTAGAGAAATATAGTACTGTCGGGGCCATTTTTTTAAAGTTCATACCGGAAATCTCTATATCTGTGCCTTTTTACGGAGAATTCGCACGTATTTCGAACTTCCGTACCGGCGTTTCCTTGTCTGTGCTTTTCCAGATCATTCGTTCGAAATCCCGTGGCAAAGGTTCTATTCGCTACTCGAATAAGAGCCTCCTCATTTGTTTCACTTTTTTTATTTTTTTGTTTTACGTCCCATCTGTTCGGTTGCTTGTTTTCAATCAGACAAGTGCCACGTGTGTTTCAGTCGGTGGTATTGCCGAACGTCGCGCGGAAAAGTAATTTTATGGAGGTGTTCACACGGCGCATTTTGAAAAATTCGCGCAACTGTAAAACGATTCGTTATTCTGTGTGCACCGCCACACAATGGAACAAACCGTTGAGGAAGTCGACGCACAAAATCTTGAGTAAAATGGGCCTGTTGTAAACTCTAGCTAAAACAAAAAGAAGAGTTGCTAATTAAGCCTTGTCTCCACGGGCCTTTTCACGAGATTTGTCCCAGGGAAAAATCCCACTTACGAAGTTGGGAAAAATATTGAGTTGATCAATATTTTCCCCAGTACCAAGTATGGTCCTTTTACTCCTAGGACCCACTGAGAGAAGAGGAAGAAGTGTAAACGAACTGTGCGATATTTTGTTGATTACTCCATTGTTCATGTTTGTTCAGTTAAAATAATGTGTCTAATTGTCAATTGAGTGCAATTATTATTTAAATCCCGGTGAAATCCTCGACTTCATCTAATTCATCTTCCCGCGCAAACTAGTCGCAGGACCGTATGAGTCCCGTCCCGTGGAGACGGTAACTGGGAAAAATCCCAGAAGTTTCATTCCTGCGATTCGAACTTGGGACAAATCCTATGAAAACGTCCCGTGGAGACAAGGCCTTACAGGAACTGTCTCAAAAGTCACGATGAACGCATCGGGGAAGTCTAAAATACATGTCTAACTTCACAATCTGCAAGAGGAATAAGCGTTTTTTAAAGCTTTTGCTTCAAAAACGATACTACAGCACAGGTGAACATCAGTGAGAGGAGTCGTTCCATCCAGCTCTTGTGCATTAGAATGCTAGTGCACATACAATTTAACATGGCTGATGCTTCGGCGCACAAAACGTAAGGAAGCACCATGGTCTTGAGCGAGACAAGGAAAATGTAAAATAAACACGCCGGTTGATAAAATGCCACCTTGTCACTTGTGTTTCGGCAGGTTGGCAGGTTAGTGTCGGCCATGTTGAATATTACATAGCATCCTAGTGCGGAAACAGAGACAAAAAACCCTCCACTGGCCTCCTAGCGACAGGTGGAAGCTTTTACTCTCGGGGTTTCAACAATTCCTTATGGAAAATCACTAGGGAGCAACAGTCATCACCCTAGTTTCGGCTGTTGACTTACCCACATGGTCGATGATGAGCTTCGGATGACGTCATGAGCCAAACAAGTTTCCGAAACGTCGGCCATTTTCGGCTTGTTTGCAAAACGAAACTGCCAACACGTTGTTGAACATCAACCATGTAAGTAAGTCAACAGAGGACTGCTGAAGTCCCGAAAGTAAAAGCTTCCACAATGGCCAAGATACTAGTGGAGGGTCTCTTGTCTCTGTGCGGAAAGGTTGGATAGAACGATTCCTCTTACGAAATATTCACCCGTGTGGTAGTATCGTTTTTGAAGCGAGAAGCTTAAAAAACCCATATTTATTGCGCAGATTGTGAAGTTAAGAGTGTTTCAGACTAATCCAATGCTTCATCGTGGTTTTTGCGTCATTTCCATAAAAGACAGCCTTTCTTTTTGCTTTGCTTAGCTCTTTCTGCTTTGGTCGTAGAGAAAATACAGAAGGTGGTGGCAAGCGGAGAAATGTACTTTTCTACGTCACGGCTAAAAATGAAGCTGCCCTTCTAATTGGTCATTAGGATTGCGGGAAAACAGAGACCTCTTTGAAAGAAAAGGAGCGAGAGAGTCTGTGAGGTTCCCACTTACTTTGGCTCTAAAAACTCGTAACTTTGACTTTTTATGTTTCAATACATATGTTTTTCTATCAATGTTCCACTTTAACTGAACCTAATTCGTAAATTAAAAATATGTATTTCATATAATAACTCTTATCTCAATTCGTCCCGTTTTGAGGGTATAAGTATGTCAAATTACGTTCTGTGCGTCAAAAAAACAGAAATTGGAGAGTCATTGTAGCTAATGTTCAATTATATGACTTTCAATGTTAGTTTGAGTGGTGATGTAGGTACACTGAAAAAACAACTCCGGCCGTGGGAGCCGCAATTACGGGCTACATAGACATACCGCCCGTTCCGGGCTCAAAGGCCGAAAATTCCGGCTGCTGGAGCCGTAGCCTCGGCCTCTGAACCCGGAGCAATGGAAACTACGCCTCCAGCATCCGGAATTTTCGGCCTTTGAGCCCGGAACGGACGGTATGTCTATACAGCCCGTAATTGCGGCTCCCACGACCGAAGTATTTTTTTCAGTGTAGGTCTTTATACAGGTTCCATCATGAAATGCATGAAATGTACCTTTTTTTTGAACAGCGGCCAGTCCGTGTACTTTTCTAGAACACCTTTATAGACAGAGTATGGCCATTCGTATCTTATTATTACAGGAAAACTGTACCGCTTTTTGATTGGTCAACGAGTTTTTAGGCTTCACGATGCTCTCACGGCCGTAAATAAACAAACACGATAGCGGATCACCGTGACATCGATAAGAAGCTAAAATTTTACAAAAATTCCAATTATACGGCAGTACCAATTTCAACTAGCATGTTTGCGAATAACACATGAAAACACTAGTAAATCGCATTTCGCCTCAATCACAGGAGGATGTAAGACATGCATAACCCCTAACTTGCTTCCTGATAACAATCATCTTGTTCGTTTATTTACGACCATAAGAACTTCCTGTCAGCCTGTTTTCACGCGACCAAAGAAAAACCGGCACAGAAACAGGCCCGCCACATCCCATCTCGGGCTGTGGTACCAGTTTCAAGGCCGGGCCCCAAGCGCGAAGGGGGAGGGGGTCCGAGGGGCATCCCCCGAGAAATTTTTGAATTTATAAATTTATTCGGACGCATTTTGAAGCTTCCATGACGAATTTGTCCATCAATTTATGCGGAATAATTACGCTTTTTTCTACTTTCAGCACAAAATATACTTGCGAATTGTTGAATTCAAAACATCTGGAAAAGTTTTATTTTTTGAGGGGAGCACATGACACTATTTTAAATTCTAAGGGGGCAAGGCCCCCCTGGACTCTCCTTTCGTTTGTCCATGGCAATGGAGTTGAGCCATGAGCCATTGAAGTCGAGGATGCCCAGACTGGAGACTCTTAGCATCTGACGACGGAAGAAAGTGAAACGCAGTCACTAAAAATATCCTTCTGTACTGAACATCTTGAAAGTAGATAGCAATTTTCCAAGAAGTATACATCTTTGATAATTTAAGAGGAGTTCTACAGTGCCCCAGCGTGTTTTTGAAAATTTATTCACCTTTTGCGAAATTTTTAAGGTAAATTTTTAACTTTTTCTTCGGAAACAAGCCTTGCGTGTGTTTTCGTAGTAGTTTTCCACGGGCAGCACGGGCCCCCTCCGGGGCCCAGTACCCCCCCCCCCTTGTGGCGGGCCTGCACAGAAATGGCCATACTCTGTCTATGAAGGTACTCCATACTTTTCTTCGTCACAGAAAATCTTCAAGATGACTGCCTTGCCACCACCCTCTGTATTTTCTCTTGGCATCTTAACGGAGCAGTACTCCTATGTTCGCAGGACGAGTGGACGAAGTTGGAAGTCGGTTCCGAGGCTACGACGGCTCCAGACAAAGCTTCGGCAGCGTCTCAACACTTGGCAGCGCGGGAACCAGAAGTAACCCCAGGAGTAGGACCCGAAGCAGGAGCAGCACCAACACCAGCACTGGCGAAAACAGTGAGCAGGAGAAAATCATGGGGAAACAAGTTGAACTCATTCAGGCTGACCAAATCTCGGTCCAAATCATCACGCTCCGACAGCCCATCACGCTCCGACACCTCATCACGCGCTGGCAGCCCGGCTCGCTCTGACAGCAGCCTATCACGCGCTAGGAGCTCCGCGGGTTCCGAATCCGGCTACACTTCGGACGGCTCCAACGGACGGGCAAGACTGCAGAGGAGTCATGCCTTCCGCGAGGGAGGTTCGAGCAGCTCTCTGGGTCGGAGTAAGAGGTACAACAGTTTCCATTTGGATGGTGTTATGTCACCGACTCGAGAGGGACAACGACGCTCGCCGCCACGCCGCCGCAACTCGTCGAAATCGCAGAGCGGTTAACGTGGTACCCCCTTGACAGACACCACCTGCAGGCCGTTATTATTTTTTTTTTTTCATTCATTCTTTATTGCAAAAAAGGATTCACAAAAGGAGGGTACTAAGGCCCCTTGGCATACATCCCCCAGCAAATTCAAGTTTACAAATAGTTCAGCACGCCGATAATTGAAATTGATAGACAAAGCGATAGACAAAGAAGACGAAAAGGGTATGGAGGGATCCCTCCCTCGGGGATTTTATCGCCCGGCAATTTATCGCGATATTTTCGGAATAAAAATCGTGATAAATGACGATTTAATCTCGTTTAATTGACGAGAATTGATCGCGACTTCGTCGAACCGAAAATTGCGATGGGTAGCGATTTAATCGCCATGTATCGCAAGTTTCGATGCGATAATATCTCGATATATTGCCACCGATATAACAGCGAGAACCAACCGATCGAATCGCTGTTTATCGCGATCACTGCTACTTGCACGGAGAAGAAAACTTCGTGCGTGGGACCCGAAGTTGAGGTCATGTTGATCTTTGAAGTTTTCGGATCACGGATCTGAAAACTTGAGGTCCAGCTGCCGAAGTTCGGGTCAGACATCTGAAGAACTTCGACATATACCGAAGGGTTCGGGTCAGACATCTGAAGAACTCCGGTACATGCCGAAGTGTCTCGATGTCTGACCCGAACTTCGGCAGCTCGACCTCAATTTTTCGGATGCGTGATCAGAAAACTTCAGAGATCCATATGACCTCAACTTCGGGTCCCACGCACGAAGTTTTCTTCTCCGTGCAAGTAGCAGTGATCGCGATAAATAGCGATTTGATCGGTTGGTTCTCGCTATTATATCGGTGGCAATATATCGAGATATTATTGCATTGAGACTTGCGATATATGGCGATTAAATCGCTACGCATCGCAATTTTTGGTTCGGCAAAGTCGCGATCAATTCTCGTCAATAAAATGAGATTAAATCGGCATTTATCACGATTTTTATTTCGAAAATATCGCGATAAATTGCCGGGCGATAAAATCGGATTTTATCCCGATAAGAGCTAGGATGATCGCTTAGATGTTGATGATCCTTGCGATTCTATCGCCGAATAAAATTGCAATACATCCCGATTTTCCCGTTGAAAGATGCTACTCGGGTATTGATGGGATCAGCTGGTGGTTGCAATTGACAAATGAGGCACTTACTAGACTAAGTAACAGCAATCCAGGAGAGAGCAATAGTTTGTCCATAATTTTCTCCCTTAGTTTATGGGGACCACCCATGTCAACCAATAGGATTGTTCCATATTCCTTATGTCGTCTATGTCTATAGCTTTGTCTATCAATTTCAATGATCAGCCCGCTGGACCCTGCCCGATTCATGTGAGTGTGTTAGTGCATTGCGGTATCACTGTGGCCCCCTCCCCTATGAGTCACCCGTAAGACAGTCTCTCAGGCTCTTTTGAAATTGCATAAAATTGGCCTGCCCCCTTCCAATTTTTGGAGAAAATGATGAAGAAAGTTTTAAAATTAGCTGAAAAAATCATTTTTATTGAAACTTTTATTCGTTTTTTTATTATTTTTTTATTTTTCTCTAAATGAAACTTGTTATTGGCAGATAGAGTGAGAAAAAAACGTTATGTCACCCGTATAAGTACTTTGCAGCTATACTTCCCCAAAAATCAATTTTGTAATCCTTCAAAATAAAGCTGAAAGCATTCGAGCGCGGAATATTGCATTCGATCGGGGAATATTGCATTCGATCGGACAAATAAAACAGTTGACTTGTTTCGCATGCTTTCATATTCTGCCGTGCTAAGGAAAAACGCCGTATGAGCCTTCAGACGTTGCCATATTTCCCTCAAGATAAGCCGAATTTACTGAGAAAATTGTCAATATTTTTCCTCAAATTTTTCAGTTAATTTTTTTCACGATTTAATCTAAAATATCTGCAAATTCTAGGGAAAAATATTCGAAACTTTCCTCCAAAATACATGTTTTTATCCGTGGAAATGTGGCAACTCTCGAATGTTCATACGGCGTTTTTGCTTAGCACGGCAGTATTGTCATCGGGTTTTTACAAAATGATTTTGGTGTCGCAGAGCGCCCTAGCGCGCCGTAAAAGCGGCTTATTATACATACATACACACATCACCATACATAATTCCGTAATACATATATATTCAGTATCTTTGAAAGAAAAAAAGAATTTGCACGATTTTGAAAACAATGTAATCACGCTGGTTCCTTTTTGCTAAATGCGATCCAATTGTTTTTAGTACCGTCCAAACATGCTAGTTACCATTTTATTTCCTTCCATATCCGTATTGTAAGTCTCTGCAGTAACTTAGGATCTCGAGGCGTAGTTTATTAAGTGCTTTGTAATCTTAGTTTATTATCTTGCATATATTGCTTGGTCTTTTTGTTGAATTGTTTATGTTGTTGAGTTAATTTAGATTAGCGTCTGTATAAGCGGGGATGTAAAAGGTTCATTTAGAAACATTGGCTGTGAGCATGCATTACCATTACAATATTTTTCTTCAAAATCTGAATTTCTACTAGTATATATAACCAAGCATAGAACACGTGACAATTAAACAAGCAAATGAATGATTCCCGGTGCAACATTGCTCAACCTGTCAGCTGAAAGTTGGCAACACTGTCTGCTTACCTCAATTTGAATGTATGTAAAACAATCGATTCTTAGTGAGACAGCTAACCTTAGTATCGGTGATTTTTGGGAAGTTCGGTAAGATACAAATCGATAAATTTTCATCGTCTAAGAGGACGAGCAAATCGCAGAGCTAATGCCGCAAAAACTAAGCCCTTTGAGGTTGCTTTCTCTCTCAAAAAATTGAATATTTATCATAAACAGTATGACGGAGGAAATAGTGAATGGAAGTTATGACACTAAATATATTCTTTAAAAAATTGCCGGATTGTCGATTATTAAAATATAAAAAACCTTTTACATCTTTGGCTTGGACAGGCTTGATTATTGGACATTTATGTTCTAGGTATAAATAAATATTATTCATTTATTTCTGCATCAAAATAATTTTCTTCTCACTTTCCGATCCCTCGGTTCATCACGACTTTTTAAAAAATCTGGCTTGTGAGGAGAAGTGGATGAATGTAATCAGAATCTATTGAGGTACATTTCACGCTCCTAGAAAAATCCAATCCAACAAAATCAGCAAAAAATCTTTAATGATTAGACGATATCGTCCATATTTGTTTTGCTGAGATCAACTTAAAGTGGACGCATCTATGCCAAAAGGAACTATGTTGCACGCAATTCCTACGCACATAGGTACTTTTGGCATAATGCGTTCACATATAATTTCTAACTTACTCCACATAGATTGACTTTTTTCCATAAACGACTCCATTTCCAAGAAAATCGATGAAAAAAACTGTCCGTGCCGACTTGCGTCATGGCTTGGGTTCATTTTCACGACACGAATTGATAGTCTTCGGCCTGGAAGCCCTTTTCCATTGTGACATTGTTGCCAGATTGTGCTTACTATTCAGCACATTTCCTGAGTAAACCCGATATTGAAAATCCAGATCATTTCAGACAATCTGGCAACCTCGCACGGTGACATCCACGCCCGAAGCAAGAGGCGAAAAAAACCGATAAAGTGCTGAAATATGCACAGCATTTGACGTTGCTTTGTGCGCACAATAAGTGAAAATTCAAGTTTCGCGGAATGAAAATAATAGATACCTAATGCGCACCTGATTCAAACCTGGAAGCACTTATCCGTCCCTTCATGCTTATTATGCTCAATTTAAATTATAAATTAACGCCAAAAATACTTAATTATATCTCGCGAAAAAGCGTCAAGCCAGGATTTTGCAAGTTTCAACAGGATTCCGCGAATGGGCATGCAGTACGATTGTGCGCATGAAAACACATTTCCCCCTCTCATTTTCGAAATTCCGCGAAGTGCAATATTAATCATTTCAATAACAGTGTGGGATAAGGGCCTACTCTCATTTTGAATGTTTGCGAGCTCAAGACGAAAAAGCCCTGCCGCACAAATCATGACAGGGTTTGGCGGATTAAAATTTCGTGTAACCGTTTTCTATCTTGCCCTGAACGGAAACTAAACGTCTCTGAATTTTCCTGTGACCACGCGCAAAATCGGCACGATGTTGGACAGAATACAGGGAGGGTTCATAAACAACGTAACGTTCTAGGTGGAAAAGGGGATTAGCTTGCGTTACAAGAGAGGGAGGAAGGTCCGTGTGCCAGCATTAAATACTATACGCTCTACTTGTACAAAAAAAACACCCAAAATCTTCAGAAAATTCGCACCACGGAAAGCACCAATCAATATAATGCATGTATCATCTTCATTTCTTCGATGACATTAGTCACATCATTAAAAATCTTTCCAATTTTATCTAGCTGTATATTCAATAGTTTCACACAATTTTGGGGATCTTCAGGGTTTTGAACGCCCTTTCTGCCCTGTCAAGGAAGAACGCCGTAAGGACATTCAGACATTTTAAAATTTCCTTCAAAATAAGACTTATTTCTGAGGAAAATTGTACATATTTTGCCTTGGAATTTTCAGATGTTTTATATAAAATTGTGAAGAAAATTGCCTGAAAAATTGGAGGCTAAATACTCGGAATTTTCCTGGTAAGTTTGTTATTCATCGAAAGAAATATGGCAACGTCGAGAGGCTCATATGACGTTCTTCCTTAGCACGGCAGCCTTTCAGTCAATTTCACAACATTATTAATGAAATCTTATTCCCTTCTTCGAGTAACGACGAAATCTTTCCGAGTATGTGCGGTTCCGCCATTATTCCGATTCCTTTCCTAGACGCTACCCACCAGTGTTCGAAACTCACCGTTGAGTTATAGGAGCCATGTGGTGCATCAAGCCCAATTTTTAGGCGCCATTGAAGATATTTTAGGGACCACACCGACTTTTTGCCTATGTATTGTGGCACATTTAGTGAAACATTTGACGCAAGATGTTTTCGTAACAGAACTAGCAAGTAGCTGTAACTTGGGGAAGACAAAAGCACCGCCAAATGGAGATGTTGCATGTGTGAGGAATTTGCGATTTGACTGTTGATTCATATGTAACAGTTCGCGAGAAACACGATGGTGCCTCTGGTTTTCTCTAAAATTAACTCCCAAGCTCAAAAAAAGCTCTCAAGTTGAGGCCAAAATGGAGGGGATATCTCACGCTATCCTGAGAG